AACCCTTCTATAACCTACAACTCTGAAGGATATATATATATTGAGCTCTTCAGTTTAGAGTGAATTAAAACCAAATACGGAGAAGAAATGGTGATTGGTTTCTCATTCTCTCATCCAATTATTAACGTTACGTACAATGACATTGACTCAAACAACTAACATCGATCATCAATATCTGTTTGTTAAATCTAATAAATACTACAATATTATTAACCATCAAGATTTAATCAGGCTAAGTTTCAAAAAAAGAAGAAGATTTAATCATGCAACAAAGAAAATTGTGAATTACTGTAGTATCACCATTCATACACGACGACTATACAAATCTTTTATTTCTTTATACGACTAAGAATGCTACTTCCTGATCTTGATCTGGAAACAGTTTGAGTCTTTTCGTTGTAATGATATATCTGCAATTCTTCTAAAAATTATCGTGTATGTTCAACCTAAAAATTAAACATATTAATTAAATTTCCTCTTTTTTTTCTCCCAAACGCTTTGGGAATGATATCAGCGACTTCCATATAAAACTACCAAGTTTTCATTCGGTATGAATTCATAAATGCGTCAAGTTACTAAAAGTTCATTCACGATAATAGAATTTATGGACTTTAATCTGCTTAGTGCATAAACCTAATTATTGGGAATTTAGCAAGCATCTTGACTTTGAAGAGAACCTTTTCAAGAATCTGTATATTGACCTAGGTTGTGAAAAAAATATCGGATTAAATTATCTAAAATTTAATTAGTATGTTTCAAAACTATCTATATTTTTTGAAATTATAATATTTTTTACAAAAATATAAACTTTTTGGAATTTTTTCTCTTTTTCGGGTTCCTCGATCTTTTAAAATTCATTAATACTTTTTTGCTAAAATATTAAAATTATACTATTAAAAAAAAAGGATAACGGATGTTATCTTCCATTAAGTCAAAGGGGATAAATAAGTATAGTTTTAAAATTTGACGTATTAAAATGATCATTGTTGGAGTACTAAATTGGATAACAAAAATGTTTAGGTATATGGAAAGTTCTTAGCTTACAAAAGAGTGTTTGTTCTGAGTTTGTTGAAGAATGCCAAGTAAACACTGAGACCTGTAGTTTGTCTCTCCAGAATCAACTCCAGAGATATTCTCCCGTGACCCTCGAAGCAAAGGTATGAATTTATCATATATATTACTGCGATTTTGTGTCTGATTTACCAAATCACTCAGAGTTCCATTTCATTCGATGAAATAAATTTACATTCTGAGATATCTTTCTTGATTATACAGTTGATAGAACTTTCTGAGGCAAATCAGAAAGCGTTGGGTCTAATTGTGAAGGATGGAAAAGTTATGGACGATGTATTTTATGACTAGGTTGTGTAGATTTGTAGTCCACATTTATTTTTGTTTTTTGGTTGTGAACATGGAATTTTAAGATTGATTTTAAACTCATTTAGATATATATTCTTTTATGAGGTTTGGTACAACAATCCAGCTCTATGGGATTGGCTGAATGATCATGCTAATGAATTAAAACTCGATAAACTCAAACGGGATTACTTCTTGATCAACAAAACTCCATGGTGAGTATCATCAAACTGGCTTTGTTCTAATATATAAGCTCTTGGTGTAGAATTTAAAAATGTGTTTGTTACTAAAAGTTAGCAAAAGATGTTGGAAATCATTAAGATATTGTATATGGTGTGTTAAACCTCATGACGATAAGGAGAGATCAGCCCAAGAGATTAATGTTTTGTTAGCCCAAGAGATTAATGTTTCGTTATACATTGCAGGTCGTCTCTTGATGAAAATGAAGCATTCTTGACCACGGCGGATTCAGCTGTAAAGTTGGTTCCTGAAGCAACAAACCCCATTGTTGGCTGGAAGGGTCTTGAATATAGAACAGCCTTTCGTGTGACTAAGCCACCTGGTGCCAATTTATATCCTCCCGATATGGATAAAACGATACCCACTAACATATGTTTGATGTTTGTTTTCCATTTACTCATAGATTGTGATAATCCGTAGTAAGATATTTGCTTCTGTGAGTAATATTGGCTCTAATGATAATCCGTAGTAAGTTTTCCATGTTGCGATAGTAAACTAATAGAGGATATCTTGATGAGCTACATCATATGTGATAATCCGTGGTGAACTAAGTTTTCTGTAAGACTATTGAGCCATAAGGTGAACTCCTATGAGCAAATATCATATGTGATAATCCGTAGTAAGTTTTCCATTTACTCATAGATTGTGATAATCCGTAGTAAAAATATGTTACGATAGGATTTTTCAGTGTTATAAAAAGACGAAATGTAGCTCATCAAGATGCATCTCTATTTGATCATCTCGCCAACATCATAAAGCAGTTACCAGACTCTAATTATTCTATCATTTGTCATTTTTTCTATTAATTTCTATGTTTTTTGATTATTTAGGAAGACCTTCCCAAATATGTGAGTATCCTTCTTAAATTTATTTTTTAGTAAGGTTTCCTACATATTTAGAAAGGGAAAATCGCATTTTTAACCTTCAGAGTCAGCTTTACTAGCAGTTTAAACCCTGAGAGAATTTCACTAGCA